TGCATGCCTATTATGTTTTTTTTTTCGCAGTGGATTTCAAAGAATTCGGTTTTGTTGTTTCTGAGTAAATCAGTAAAATAAATTTACGCATTCATTAATTTTTTTGAGTCACCCTGTATATGCAAATCCAAAAAATATGAATGGAGTGATAGATCACAAGTACAGACTCATCATATTTTGTACATTTTAGATATGATTTATTCGGCAAACTTTCGAGCTGACGTCATCAATTTTTTGGAGGGGATAAGCAAATATATTTTGACTAAACATTTATTATGCTCTTTATAACCTTAAAACATCTGCAAGATTTCAAAGCATTCGGTTTTGCAGTTCATGATTAAATCAAAAAAATAAATTTACGCATTCATTAATTTTTTTGAGTCACCCTGTATATGCAAATCCAAAAAATATGAATGGAGTGATAAATTACAAGTACAGACTCATCATATTTTGTACAGTTTAGATAAGATTTATTCGGCAAACTTTCGAGCTGACGTCATCAAGTTTTTGGAGGGGATAAGCAAATATATTTTGACTAAACATTTATTATGCTCTTTATGACCTTAAAACATCTGCAAGATTTCAGAGCATTCGGTTTTGTAGTTCCTGATTAAATCAATAAAATATATTTACGCATTCATTAATTTTTTTGAGTCACCCTGTATATGCAAATCCAAAAAATATGAATGGAGTGATAGATCACAAGTACAGACTCATCATATTTTGTACATTTTAGATATGATTTATTCCACAAACTTTTGAGCTGACGTCATCAAGTTTTTGGAGGGGGTAAGCAAATATTTTTTGACTAAAGATTTATGATGCTCTTTATAGCCTTAAAACATCTGCAACATTTCAAAGCATTCTGGTTAGCAGATTAAAAATTAAATTTCAAAATGTTGTTTTATAATTTTGATTTTTTTTCCAAAAATCTGGACGTTTCGGGTGAAAAGTCGATTCGGAGTTGTAAACTACATGTGTAGGACTATGTTATTTTATACAATTGAAAACCCATTTACTATGTACAATTTTGAAGTGACGTCATCGCATTAGTGGTGGGGATGATTAGACAAATTTTGGTTAGCGTTTTACCATCTACATGATATTCTTAATATAAGTACAAAATTTCACAACAATCGGTCGAGTACTTTCGGAGATTATCTGTCTAATAAAAATCCGGGGGCAGACGGACAGACGGACAGACGGACAGACAGACGGAAATGGGAGACCTATTTCTTCGTCTTCTAGGGGTCATGAAAGATCGAGAAAACGTAAAAGTAGAGAGTCGGCCGACGGACTCGATTACAATACTTCCTTTGCTTACGCTCGGGAAGTAAAAATGAGAACTACAAAGGGAGAAATGCGTAATAAGCTAGTAAGAAATGCAAATGAGGGGTGCGAAATGATAAATGTAAATGAACAATGAAAATGCGAAATGACAAAGACAAATGAGAAACCCCAAACAAGAAATGATAAATGCGAAATGGGGAATGAGAAATGAGAAATTTGAAGTGCAGAATGAGAAATCAAAAATGTGAAACAAGAAATGATAAAGAAGAGTAATGGGAAGAGAAAAATGCGAAATAAAAATTGATAAATGCGAAATGAGGAATGTTAAATGTAAATGAAAATTGACAAATGAGAAATACAACATGAAAAATGCCTAATAAGAAAAGCAAAATGCACAAAATGAGAAATACGCAATAAGAGATGCGTAACGAGAAATATGAAATGAAAAATTAGAAATGTATAATGATAAACCCGAAATACACAATAATACTTACGAAATTAGAAATGCGTAATGAAAAATAAGCAAAATGCGAAATGAGAAATGAAAAATAAGCAAAATGCGAAATGTGAAACGAAAAATGTGTAACAAGCAATGATACAAATGATACAAAAATAAAAAATAAATGATGCGGAATAAAAAATTATAAATACGAAATGAGGAATAAGGAATGAGAAATGAGAAATACGAAATGAGAATTGCTAATCGAGTAATGAAAACATACGAAATGACAAAAGGCAAGTGTGAAATAAGTAGTGTGAAATGACAATTATAAATACGAAATGAAAAATTTTCAACAAACTTAACAAAAACGTGCACATGTTGGAACTATGTATTAATTAAATATTCTTCTTCTATTCCACAATATCTTTCAAGAAATAAGAAATGCAAACAAATACGAAATGAGAATAGCAGAGAAAGAAATGATTTTGCGAAATGGGGAATCAGAAATGAGAAATATGAAATGAAAAATACGTAATGAGAAATGCAAAATGAGTAATGCGAAATGAGAGATGCGTAATGAGAAATGTGAACTGGGTAATGAAAATGCGAAATGAGAATTGCGAAATGAAAAATTATAAATATAAAATCAGAAGTGAAAAAGCATAGAATGCGAAAATCCAAACGAAATAAACAATGAGAAATACGAAATGAGAAATTCGAAAATTAAATAATTAGAAATGCGAATAGATAAAAGCGGAATCATAAATGCGAAATGAGCAATGAAAAATACGAAATGCAAAATGAAAAATGCAAAATTTGAATAGCGAAATGAAAAATGCGAATGAGAAGAATGAAATGAGAAATGCGAAATGAGGAATGAGAAATGAGAAATTCGAAATAATAAATGGCAAATGTAAAATAAGCAATGATAAATGCGAATGTAAAAATGCGAAATGTGAAATGAGAAAGAAGAAATGCGAGATTTGAAATAAGAAATGCAAAACGACAAAAGAGACATGTGAAATGAGGAGTGTGAAAGAAATATGAAATGAGAAATGCGAATAATTAATACGAACAGCGAAATGAGAAATGAAAATGCGAAATCACAAAGGAGAAATGCGAAATGAGAAGTACAAAATGAAAAATTATAAATACGAAATCGAAAATGAGAAAGGATAGAAAGCGGAAAGCGAATTGATAAATGCGAAATGAAAAATTTTCAATAAACTTAGCAAAAAAACGCACATAATGGAATTATTAATTTTATAATTCTTCGATTCAACAATATCTTATGGGAACAAATGTGAAACGTGAAATGCGAAATGAGAATAGCAAAAAAAAATTATTAGTTATAATTCTTCTCTTCAACAATATCTTATAATAAATAAGAAATGGGAACAAATGTGAAATGTAAAATTCGAAAGAAGAATGCGAAATAAGACTCACGAAATGAGAAATGAAAATGCGAAATGAGAAATGTAAAATGCGAAATGAGTAATGCAAAATGAGCGATTAGAAATGATAAATGAAAAATGCGAAATGAGTAATACAAAATGAGCAATGCGAAATGCGAAATGAGAACCGCGAAATAAAAAATGGGAAATTCGAAATGGGGAATGAGAAATGAGAAAAAACGAGAAATGAGGGATGTGAAATGAGAAGGCCGAAATGAAAAATTAGATATGCTGAATGAGAAATAAGAAACGCGAGATAAGAATGAGAAATGCGAAATGAAAAATGCAAAATCCAAAACAAAAAATATGAAATAAGAAATGAGAAGGGAGAAATATGAAAATCGAAATCACAAATGGGAAATAAGAAAACACACATGCGAAATGAGAAACACAAAATGGGAAACGCAAAATGCAAAATGCGGAACGAGAAATACGATATGAGAAAAAATGTGAAATAAAAGACGTGAAATGAGAATTTGAAATGAAAAATTTTCCACAAACGTTTCAAAAATTTGAACATAATAAACTCTTGTGGAATTATGAATTATAATTTTCTTATTCAACAATATCTTATCTTATGACAAATGAGAAATGGAAACAAATGCGAACTGAGAAATGCAATATGAGAACTGCAGAATAAAAAATTAGAAATGCGAAACATGAAATTCGAAATAAGAATGCAAAATGGGAAATGAGAATTTATAAATGAGAAATGAAAATGCGAAATGATATTGAAAAATGTGAAACAAGAAATGACAAATAATAAATGACAATTAAGAAATGAGAAATACGAAATGAAAAATTCGAAAGAAGAGATGACAAATAAGAAATAAGTTATGCGGAATGACAAATTAACAATGTGTAATGACAAATGAGAAATACGGAAGAGACGAAATGAGAAATTTTCCACAAACTTTAGAAAAAATCTTTTTAGACGTCCACAGCGATATTTTGTCTTGTAAACCTGTTTTTTATTTAGGCATTTTACGTGAGGATTCTTCGGTTATTTGAAAATCTTGGAAAGGGGGTAATCAGCATAAAGCAAAAATATAAAGATAGTTTCCTTAAAAAAAAGCCTCAAAAACAGAACACTCTGTACAGTCTAACACAATTTTAGTATAATTATGCTACTTAATGAACAGTATAACTTTGGTACATATTTGACTGTTAATTCTTGAATGTAATTTTTAAATAACCTATTTTTATTTTGAAGTGAAAATTTACACTGTGAACTGTAACTAATAAAAAATAAAAAACTGGATCTTAATTGATATTACACACAGTGAAATTTTAATGATGAAACTACTGAAAATATTGAAAGGTTGTAAATTTCTTTTTAGTATAATCGAATTTACTTCTCGTTTACAAGATTCCAGCAGTGGAAAATGGAAAATTTCTCGACCTGTATTTTTCTTTCTTGAATGTAATTTTTTAAAGTTTAATAAGAAATTTATAAAAAAATACGAGACTTTAAAATGTTTGCAAATTTTAAAAGAAAATGTATGCAGCAAGTGAAATTCTGTCATTTTTCTTGTCTTTACTCAAGCCAACAGTCCACAAAACAACCAAGTCTCTCCCATCTCAACGACTTCGACGAGGACGAACAACCGATAGATTCCGACAACTCATCCGAATAATCGTAGATAAGTAAAATTTTCGTCTCGACTGAAACGACATGGGATAACCCAAAAGCCACTCACCTCCCATTAGCCTTATCGCCCATAACCTACCTTCGGTATCACGCGACCCATGACCCATCCACACAATGTCGAAAACGATAAACCGATGTTTTGATAATTAATAAAACGACATGATTTAGTTTTCTTTATCGCTTCTTCAATAAACAATATTACAATAACATGATTAATTATAATTTCCAATGATTATAAAATGATTTGTGAATAACTGAATCCTCTGCATCTCGATAACATAAATCCAAGCTGTTTAACACAAAAAATACATTAGAAAGAGAGAAAAACGAGTATTGAACCGGGCACGGAATCACTGAAATTCTTTGCTAGGTGTTGAAATTCCCAGCGCTTCTTCGTATCCAGATGTCGGCTTCTTCTTACTCTTGCTCTTGCCGTCTTTATCTTTCTTCTCCTTCTTCTCCTTTTTCGGCTTCTTGGCTTTCTTCGCGTCGCCGCCGCCCTTTTCGCGGTGCTTGCTCTTCTCGGACTTCTTCTCAGCGTCTTTTGGCTTGTCGCTCTGGAAGAAAACAGCCCTCTGAGCTCGCTAGATTTAGTGTTTCGGGATGGGAATGGATGAATGGGTCGGGCAAGGTCCTCTAAATAAATCTTCACTCTTCTTCCGAACTTTGTTTACACTGATACGTTTCTTTACATAAACACTGGTAATCTGTACAAATGTTTGTGTGTCGAAGCGGTTGGAAAAACATGATAGGATGGATATGGGAAGTTCATTCATTTAAAAAAAATGTTTTTAATAGCTGTTAATTATTTGGGTGACGTTTAATAGCTTTTTTTTACAATGCTTGAGATTACTGGTTTAATAATAGCACACATATACAATGTGTTCTTTTTAGTGAAAGCCAGTGTTATCAAGACTAAACGCGGACGATTGTGTGCTGGATTTTACGACGCCTACAAGTTGGTGTTATATCCGTTACAGTTGAAAAATAAATTTAAAAATATATAAAAAAATCAATCATAGCTAATTAGTGAAAAATGATAATGTGCAATTGATATTCCGTGACGCATAACTTAATTATCTTATTGTATCCTGCTTCAAAAATATAATCCTTTCTTAGAAGATATTATTTCATATACAGAGTAACAATCCTATTATTAGCTCTTCATTGATATAAAAATACAATTATAGCTAGTTGATCAAATAATTTTTAATAGTAGATAATTAGCAATGAATCTAAATGATTCTTAAATTAATTAGGTAGTCAAATAAACGCGGAAGTGTATTTAACTTAACAATTAAAATAATGAAACTAAAGTCATTCTATATTTTTTATTATGATTATATAAACAGTACACATAGAGCCTAATTGCAAAATCGATATTTGCTTATACAAATTTTCCATTTTAAACATGTTTTAAGTTTCATGTTGTGAAAAGAAGTCTACACATATTAAAACAAAAAGGCAAAACGTAAGCGTAAGCCCGCCCACCCGCCCTATCTCAATTATGATGATTTTTTTTATTCGGTGTGAACCAAGGGGGCAGAGCTTAACTGCAAAATACTTATTTCTTTACAAGAAATTAAAAACATGTTTTTGAGTATCGTATTGTTCAAAGAATACCATATATATTAAGAAAAATAAGGCTCCTTTGGCTCTCTTTAAAAAAAAATCATCACAATTGAGATAGAGCGAGTGGGCGGGGCTTATATTTTGCGTTTTTTCTTAATATACGTACTCGTCTTTTCACAACAAAAAACTTAAAACATATTTAAAATGTAAATTCTAGTAGACAAATATGGATCTTGCAATTAAGCCCCGCCCCTCGATCTGACAACGAATGAAAAATTCATCACAATTGAAAATTGAGATTGGGGCGGGTATGGGTGGGGCCTAATATTTGGCTTTATTTTTTTCTTAATATATATAGTATTCTTTGAACAACACGATACTCAAAAAACATGTTTTTAATTCCTCGTAGAGAAATAAGGATTTTGCAGTTAAGCTCCTCCTTCTTGGCTCACGACGAATAAGAAAAAGTCATCACAATTGAGATAGGGCGGGTGGGCAGGGCTACATTTTGCCTTTTTTTCTTAATTTGTGTAGACTTCATTCCACAACAAGAAACTTAAAACATGTCAAAAATGGTAAATTTCATCACTTCATCGACAAAAAATACGGCAAGATTCTCCCACATAATCTAACATACCTCACATTTTTACGGTTTCCAAAATCTCACAAACAGTAAAATGTAAAAGCACCACACTGTATATTTTAACCACTGTTTTATTTAAAAAGCACAAAGATCTTATAAAAACAAATTTTGATTAAATAGTTGTTCCTTCTTTTTTTTAATTTTCACTTTCTTTGTTGTTAACGAACGCCAGGAAAAAAATAAGTGTGAATAAAATTCATCGACATCTAACTCAAAAAAGTAATAATGTTGTCTCTATTAAAAGCGAGAAATGTGTCAGATAATCTTAATTACACTAATAAAACGTCAAATTATTATCAGTTATAGTTAGTTTATGTAGCAATTAAAGACAACTTTGATGAAGAACAAATACTGGTTATTGTTAAAGTGTTTATGTTATTTTCCTATGAAGAAACGTTTCAATCGCAAAAACATTTTTTTTTCAGTTTTCATCAGATAGGAAGAGTCGCATTCTTCCTTAAAGAAATTTTAAATGCTGTAAACACAAAAGTAAAAACAACGTTTTATTAATACAATAAAAACTGGCGGTGAAAATTACCATTTTTAGACCTGGTATAGCTTAACTGATAGTTAAAATCAGTTAAATAAATTGTACATATATTAGTTATGGTCTCCACAATAAATAATTAATAACAAATGTTATGAAATAAAAAAAAAAAAGCAAAATCAGGTTTTTTCGTTGTTTAGTTGAACATATTTAGGTTTAAAACTTAGAATTAATTTTAAATATACAGGATGTTTCTGTGTAAAAAATGGTCATAGTTAAAAATTCTCATCTCCGCCATCTTAAAGCTGTTTTAACTTAGTTCTAAAAGTTGATTAAATTTTTTCTTTCCTAACATTTTTTTATCATTAATAAACTTCAACAAACCTAAAAACTTTATTCAATTTTTTATTCGATAATTATATAATTAACACCCTGTACATTCAAATTCAGAATGCATGAAAAATATTTTTCAAACATTTCTTATTTTATAATTTAGATAATGTTTTGGCCTGCCACTCAATTATATCATTATTATCAATATTTTATAATAACTGAACAATTACTCGTGTTTATAACTGCAATTATTAATTATCAATAATAATTATAGTTATAGACGGAATGTAATACCTAATAAAAGCATATACTGAATAATTTTTGAACGAAAATAAATTGTTTTTGAAGATAATTAAAACTTTTTTAAGTGGTACAAGTGGACCAATCCATTATATAGCTAATTATAGTTAGATTCCACGCTACTCAGCTATATAATTAACAGACCCTGTGTGTATTATCAGTTATAAGTAAAAAAATATGTGATTCCATAAAAAAAATATTTATACATTACATCTAGAACAATCATTATAAAATATAGTTAAGGCTGTTAAAAATCAGTAATAGTTATACAGGGTGAATCACTAAACGCGTGGTTCTTGATATTTAACTAGACAGCGGATTTCTGTCGGGCTACGTCACGATATAGGTGGGGACGCGCTGCATCGCCGGGACTCAGTAGCGGGTGATAGGTAATCACTGAATTTAATTCTCACTTGATTCCATAAATACAAATAACGATTTATTAATCAAACGGCTAAGTAAATGAGAACTGGAATTAACAGCAGAGTGCAATGAAGCAGCGTTATTCTAATCTCAAATAAACGAAGTGCACCCGGTAACTGCAATAAATTCCCATCCCGTACGAGCCGTACCGAGTTTGGCCTTGTCTAGCCCGACAGAAATCCGCTCTCTACTCATTAATTATTATTATTAGAGATGATAAAAGTGTGAAGACTAAAGTTGTATAGTTATTTTCACATTAAAATTATTTTCCACTATACAGAGTGTTACAGCACATAACAATATATTTTGTCATATTTTCATTAGCATCTCCCTAGGTTTCATAACTTAGTTTATTAGTGAAATTCCGATGCGACGTTGCCACGTTGTTCCAGTTGTTTTATTAATTTTACTTCCCGAGCGAAGGAAGTATTGTAATCGAGTCCATCGGACGAATGACCACTTTTGTATTTTCTCGACGTTTCATGACCCGTTTCCGTGTGTCTATCTGTATCCATTTTTATTAGACATGTAATTTCCGAAACTCTGCTGGACCAATTGTTGTCAAATTTTGCTAATATCCCCATAAAGAAAGTGAAACCTTCTCCAGGGCCACAACTGTATTTTTTTTAAAGAACGTTAAACCTTCTCGAGGGCCCCAACTGTCTTTTTTTTAATGTGAAACCTTCTTGGGGGGCCCAACTGTCTTTTTTTTAATGTGAAACATGTATAAACATAAATTAACACTTGAGCTTCAGATTGCTATTACCTAGTGCTGAAGGACAAGGGGTGTTATTTATGCCTCTGGTTTTTACTTTACCGCGGTTATCATAAAATTGTAGGATTATACTTATAGCCTTCGACCAACTTTTTATTGATCAAATTAAATTTTTATTTAACTATGATCAAATAAGAATAATAATAATCATCTCCAAAACATTTGTTCCATTGTGGCTTAATTAATAATAATCTTTTTTAGATTTGCTTACACAGGGTGTCTCAAAAAAATTAATGAATCAGTCAATTTATTTTATTGAATAAATCAAGAATTGCAAAACTGAATACTTTGAAATCTTGCAGACGTGTTAAAGTTATTGTAAGCACGATAAATTATTAATTAAGAAAGTGAAACCTTCTAAAGGGCCCTAACTGTACTTTCTTTAAAGAATGTTAGACCTTCTCCAGGGCCCCAACTGTCTTTTTTTTAAAGAAGATGAAACCTTCTCGGGGGCCCTAACTGTTTTTTTTTAATGTGAAATCTTTTCGGGAGCTGTATCTGTGTTTTTTTAAGAAAGTGAAACCTCAGGGGTCCGAAGTGTCTTTATTTTAAGAAGTTGAAACCTTCTCGGGGATACGAATTTTTTTTTAAAGAAGGTGAAACTTTCTTGGGGGCCCCAAGTGTCTTTTTTTTAAGAAGTTGAAACTTTCTCGGGGCTCCCAATTGTCTTTTTTTTTAAGAAAGGTGAAATCTTCTCGAGGGCCCCAACTATCTTTTTTTCTAAAGAATGTGAAACCTTCTCGGAGACCCCACCTGTCTTTTTTTAAAGAAAGTAAAACCAGAGGACATAGAGAAGCGTCATAGTTTAAATTAAATGACGGTTGAGGACTCCTCGACTTATGTTGGCAACAGTGTTTGTTTCTAACTAGGAATAAAATTAACTAGAAAAAATGTCATAATATTTTTAACGAAGCGTTTTACTTTCGACAAATTGACACTAGATTTACCAGAATATTGCAAACTGCTTACTGTTTCCTTCACTTTAATTTAGGTCACACGAATTACAGTTCGTCTTCTGAGAACC